GGATAGGTGTGGAATATCTAAATCTATACCTTTAATTTCAATATTTTCTTTTGTATTATAGACCTTTCTGTGTGTACCTTTAAACAAAACATAAAAAAATACACAACATAGTGCAATCTGTATAATACAAAATAAAGGATTTTGAACAAATGCCAAATGGCAACTTACACTTTCCTGAGCTAACAAATTTAGCTCAGATTCTTGCGCTTTGGGGTCCGTTAAGGCAACCCTTTCCCTTCTTTGTTATCCGGTGGTCCAGTCCTAGATAAGTATAGAAGGGTGCATATAGTGTAATATAGTCTAAATTACAGACAATAATTAAGTATAGTGAAATTTTACTCACAAACCCAGAGCCTGAACTTAGGCTCACCTCACTTCGAATATGTGGTTAAGGACCACACTCCTTCTTTCAATAAGCAGGAAAAATGCCGTAAGTGTATATAAAATGTATTTTATTAACTCTATAAAAAATATTTATGTAACAAAAATCTATAAAATATATCACTTATCCAGCTAGAGTCCAAACTGTAAAGTCTCTGTGTTCACTTCTTTCCTCCAAACTGTCGAACAGACCGACCACACAGGACCGTCGTGTGCCGCTAGTTAACCCCTTGACCTTCCTAACACCTCCTCTAACCGCAATCCCTGAACATTCGAAGAGGGCAGCTGGGTAGCAGCCATCTTGTTTTGATGAATGCGAGGTGGCAGCCATCTTGTTTTGGTGAACGCTTCCAGCGGGGTTTGGTCGTCGAGTGCATGGAACTATTATCGAACACTCAACGGCCCAAACACCGCTGAGACTTCCACCCCCACTTATGTTCATTCCCATTCATCTGAAGAAAGTGGCGGCCGGTGAAACTCCCGAACGAGGGATACACAACTAGCCTTCTCACGAATGGTGCCTTTCGGTATTTCGTTGTGTTTGGAGTTCCCAAAAGAGACCAACTGCACAGCCTGAAACTCTATAACTATTTTGGGCAGGAGCCTCGTGTGCGGTCACCCAGGCCTTTGCGTACATAGAAAAAGTCTCAGATCTTTCATTTCAGCTCATGAAAAATGGGGCAAAAACAAAAGTGTTGCATTTATTAATTTGTTCAGTGTATATATATATATAAATATGTATATATATATATGTATATATATATCTCAAAAACAAACTTTACTAACAAAGAATACATTACACTCTTGCTAATTATAAGGTTTGTGCTACGGTGCCAACTTTTTTATTTTTGGTCCTCTCCCCCCTATTGTCATGTAAGGCGGGAGTGGACACGCTCATGGGTGGGGCCGGGAGGGGTGGATAATAGGTCCTCTCGCCTATTGTCATTTAGAGCCCTCACCTGCCGCTCATGGGTGGGTGCCACGTGGGGACAGTTGGTCCTCTCCCCCTATTTTAATTTATGGCCCCTCACCCACTGCACATAGGTGGGGTTGTGGTTGGGACAATAAGTCCGAGGAGACGATAATAGGTCATTCCCCCATTGTCATTTAGGGCCCCACCTGCTGCTCAAGGGTGGGAGCCGGTGGGGATGGACATTAGGTCCTCTCCCTCTACTGTCATTTAGGGCCCCCACACGCCACTCACAATTGGGGGCAGTGGGGACAACAATAGGCCTGGGAGGAGGGAATAGGACATCCCCCTATTGTCATTTAGGGCCCCCACGTCATGGGTGGGCGCCAGGGGGGACAATAGGTTCCCCACCCCATTGACAATTGGGGTGGGGAACCTATTGGCGGGGGCCAGGGGGAAACAGATCCTCCCCCCTTGTCACTTAGGGTCATCTCCAGCTGCTCATAGATAGGGGCCAGGGGGGACAATAGGTCCTCCCCCCTATTGTCATTTAAGGCCCTCACCCGCCACTCTTGGGTGGGGGGGAGAAAATAGATCCCACAGGGCCTTCATTTGCCCACACAAAGATGGCGGCACCCAGGACCTATGCCCAGTCACGAATTAAAGTTGAAAAAAGGTAATATGGGGGCCTAAATGCATTTGGGGGTGACTAGGAAGTACTGGAGTTGTGAGGGGGTTTAAAAAAAAAAAAAAACAGATGCAGGCATGACAGCATTTTAAGGAACCTATTGTCCCATCCAAAACATTAATAAATGAGGGGGGTATGTAATGTTTTAACCGAGCTCCCATCCATGGAAGGCTGGTAGTGACTATAAGTACATTAATACAAGGGGGCTGAACCTTTATGGGCAAGTCTCAAGATAAGTAAGATTTGCCTGTCAGAGAACTTGCCTGTCAGTGATCTCTTATTGGTTGACTCACTTATAACATATTTTTATCTCAATCTTTTTGCGATCTGGTACTTTTAATTTAATATTCATTTTAAAAGTTATCTAATGGTAAATTTAGATTTATTTTTACAAGTATTAGATTAATAGGCCCCTCCTTACAATTAGGATATGTGGTAAGCAGGGTTTTTATGGGGGTAATTAGGGACCCCATGCTATTCAGGGAGATTTATTGATAAAAAAAATTTGGGGGTAGACAATGGAATGTACACCCCTCCTTATATATTTAATTATAGCCCCAATCGCTGCCATGGGTGGAGTCTGGAATTCCCCCTGGTTTATTAATATTATTATATCCTCCACTTGACACTAATTGGTGGGCCTGGGGTCCCCTGGCTTAATAATATTATTAGATCCCCTGCCTGCAACTTATGGGTGGGGGCTGAGTACTATAGGTACTCTCGGGGGAGGTGTAAAACCTTCCTTTCACTAATGTGAGTTTTCATATTGATAGCCACAGGCTATTATTTTATATCGTTTTTATGGCAGGGTTATTGAAAACTCTGATACATAGGGTAGGATCAGGATAGTAAAGGGTCTGGGAAATGTAGCAAACAATTTTAAACAAAAATGCATCCTGCCGGGTGGTGGCTGAGATGGACACATTCATGCACCTTTTTAATATCCTCCCACCCACCGCCCATGCATGTGTCCTTTAGTCAATTCCTGTATGTATTCCTGCATAATTTTACCTTCCAAGGGAGACAGAGCATAGACTCTTCTTTTAGGATGCATCGTATCTGGCAGAACATCTATGGAAAGATCATATGATCTATGCGGAGGTATTGTATCCGCATGTACCTTATTAAAGACTTCCTCTACCTCCTTATATTGAGCAGGACCTGTAATAGAAAGTGGAGGGGCAGTAGGAACATTGATTATACCCAATTGTTTCGTTATAGGCTTTAAACATTTCTACAACACTCCTCACTCCACTTTAGTATCTCCCCTCTCCTCCAATCTATACATGGATTGTGTTTGATTAACCATGGAAAACCAAGCACAATGGGACATAAGGGTGAGGAGATTACCTGAAGAGTGATCTATTCCTTATGCAAGGCCCCTACTTGCAATGAAACAGGTAAGGTCTCATGGGTAATGTGCGGTTTCCTAAGAGGTCTAACATCTATGGCCTCAACGGCCAAAGGTGTTGATCTCTCCCGTAGAGGTATTTTGTGTGTAGATACAAAGTGAGCATCAATAAAGCTTTCTGCTGTTCTGGAATCTAATAGAGCTTTGCAATTGACCTCAAGGTCATGTAACTGAATGGTAATGGAAAGGAGAAGTCTAGAAAGAGGCATAGTGGGGGACATATACATAACACCTAAGGCCATTCCCCTTATGGGTGTGAGAGATTTCCGGGTGAATCAGGCAATTAACTCTCATGTGTCCTTTCTTGCCACAATACATACACAGACCTTCACTCCTCCTGAATTGTCTCTCTGCTTCAGATAACCTCATAACCCCCAAATATTTTGGTTCAGGTTGTTAACAACAGGGTTTAAAAAGCGGGGAGCGAGAAAAGTGCTATTTTTTCTAGGTCTGTTTCTGATCATTTCCCTTTCTCTTGGTCTGTCATCTATGTGTATCATATAAGTAATATACTCATTAAGTTTTACTGGCAAGTCCCTGGCAGCAATCTCATCAAGAATGGTATCGGACAGACCTTCAGCGAAAGCAGTGACGAGGCAATTGTTTGTCCAATCCAACTCTAAGGCAAGGGTACAAAACTCAATTGCATAATCAGCAACAGAGCGATTGCCCTGTCTTATGCGAATGAGGCTTTTTCCACATCCTTTTCCTTACCTAATGGTTCAAAAATTATCTTGAACTCAGCTAGGAATTTTGCATAATCATATGCGATAGACTTGTTGCTCTCCCTTAAAGGATTTGCCCAGGTTAATGCCTTCCCAGTTAACTAATTCATCAGATAGTCAATCTTGGATCTTTCGGAAGGAAATGATCCAGGGGAGGCCTCAAAGTGGTACTCGATTTGGTTAAGAAAACCACGGCATTCCTGAGCATTACCATCAAAATGAGGGGGTGTGAGAGAGAGATAGATGGAGCCTTGTATACTATGGGTACAACAGTGTCAGAAGGAGCTGGAGGAGGTCGTTGATCCTCCAGTTGGAGGTGAGCGGTACGGGCTAACAATGTCTGAAAGGCCTGGGTGAATTGATCCATCCGGTGATCATTGTCTTCCAGCCTTCTTTCGCATGCCAACATGTGTTGACTTAATTCTGCAGGGTCCATGGCCCTGTCGTAATGTCAGGAGGGGGTTGTGGTCCAACACACAGAATCAAGTAAACTAGAAAAACGTATTACTGGGCGCACGTAACGTAGAAAGAATAGTCAGAAACAAGCCGAAGTCGTGGACACAGACAGGAGCATAAACGAGATGACAAAGCCAAAGTGCCAGGGATACCAGAAATGCGGATAATCAGAATAAGCCAAGATTAAAGACCAGAAATAATAATATCAAACGTGCTCTCGCATAACCAAAGAAGTGGAAACCACGACAGGGCAAAGAAGAAATAAAGAAATGTGTTTATATAGCCCTTCCCTATCATTCATTGGCGGACAGGGGTCATCTGACTCCAGAACGTGCATATGCACTCTTTGTGTTGCCGCACACACACGTTTGCATGACCTCTAACTGCTGGACGCAGGGCTATATCTTATTCTGCTTTTACAGTGGCGCAATGGACGTGCCAGCGGATCTGGCCTTGATCCGCCACAAATTAGGTAAGTTTAGTTTTTTGTTTAAGTGACCGCACCAATTGGGTGCGGTCACGTGGTGTCGCGGGTTGGGAGCTGTGACAGTCTATCTGTGTGTCAGGGTATGTATCTGTATGTGTGTCAGGGTATGTGTCCGTATGCGTGTCAGGGTATGTATCTGTATTTGTGTCAGTGTATAAATCTATGTATCTGTGTATCTGCATGTGTGTCAGGGTATGTATCCTTAAGTGTGTGAGGGTATGCATCTGTGTTTTAGGGTAATTATCTGTGTGTCAGTGTGTGTGTCTGTATGTCAGGGTATATCTCTGTGTTAATGTGTCTTTGTGTCAATGTATGTATCCTTAAGTGTGTCAGTGTATGTATCTATGTGTCTGTGTATCTGCATGTGCGTCAGGGAATGTATCTGTGTGTCAGACACATAGATACATACAATAACACACTTAAGGGTACATACCCTGACACATAGATACACACCTGACACACAGATACATACTCTAATACACATGCAGATACACAGATACATACCCTGACACACACACATACAGACATAGACACACAGACACATTGACATACAGATAGACACACCAATACATACCCTGTCACACATGCAAATACACAGACACATAGATACATATCCTGAAACACAGCAGATACACAGAGATACACACTGACACACAGATACATACCCTGACAAACATGCAGATACACAGACACATAGATACATACACTGACAAACTTAAGTATACATAACCTGACACACAGATACACTGACACACAGCAAATAGACATAGATACACAAAGTGACACACAAATACATACCCTGACACACATGCAGATACACAGACACATAGATACATATCCTGAAACACAGCAGATACACAGAGATACACACACTGACACACAGATACATACCCTGACAAACATGCAGATACACAGACACATAGATACATACACTGACAAACTTAAGTATACATACCCTGACACACAGATACACTGACACACAGCAAATACACATAGATACACAAAGTGACACACAAATACATACCCTGACACACATGCAGGTACACAGACACAATGATATATACTCTGACACAAATACAGATACACACTGACACACAGATACATTACCTGATAAACATACTGACATACAGGTACATACACTGATACACAGCTACATTGACAAACATGCAAATACACCAGGGCATGACAAATTTGCTTGGAATCTTGGAGCCAGGATTACAGAAGGTCAGGATTATTCAGACTCTAGACAAAACCGGGTCAGGATACCAGAAATCACAAGTCAAATACGAAGCCAGGGTCAGGATATACGAAATCACAAGTCAATCCGAGGCCGAGGTCAAACACAGGAAATCACAATGGAATCATCAGGAGAAATTAACGAAGTTCTAACAGAAACCACGATAGGGCAATGAATGAGGGACAAAAAGAAGCCTTAAATAGGCTCACGAGAGTTCCCACTGGTGCACGTCATCTCTGCGGCCCCAAACAGCATTGGGTTATCTAGATGACATGGTCCCTTTAAGGTCATGACGTCATGGCAAAATATTTTATATATATGGGCTGCAGTTCGCCCCGCAAACCAGTCATTTGCAGGACCAAAGGTAAGTTCTATCTATTTAGGCAACGTGGAGCATTCAGGCCCAAAGACAGAGGCAATGCGGCAACGCGGTGCGTCCTTCCCGCGTGGCAGGAGGAGAGGAGCAGTGTGGGTGCTGGAAAAAAGTATGTTTTTGACAAGTTAGACCTCTAGTGGCCGTCACTCAAACCACGCTTGGCATGGTGGTGCCCAATAGCCTCCCAATGCTTTCCTATGGGAAAGTATTGCTTGGCTGAGATCATCAAGACTGATTATCTCAACCATGAGAAGGATTCAGCCATGGTAAGACCTTCATGGCATGGGAAAATAGGTAAGTAAAATCACCTTTCCCATGTTATCAGAGGGGGACCGGTCACCTAAACAGACACTCACTAAGAGACAGACACACACACAGACTCACAGACAGACATACACAAGCTCAAATATAGACACACACACACAAACTTGCAGACAGACACATATACAAACACTCACAGACAGACACACACACAAACTCACAGACACAGACGGATACACACTCACACACTCAGAAGTTGATTTTTTTTAATTATTTTGTTTAAAACCCACCCAGCCTCCATACCTTTTGGAAAGCTGGAATGGTCAGGCTTTCCCTGGGGTCCAGTGGGGCTGGTGTCATCTCCTTACTCTGCTCCCTGTCACGCACTGTTTAGTTTAGTATGCCGGGGCCCGAATGATGCCATATTCTGGATCCCAGCATCCCTGCAGGGCACACGAGGGAGCAGAGCAGGGAGATGATGGCTCCCTCTCTTGCCCCCCCCAGGTATATTCCAGCTCTCTCTCAAGACCTGCCTCTGCTCTCCCACGGCTGACCGGCCACCTCTGCTTTCCAACAGCTGGCCAGCCGTCTCCCTCCGCTACAACTGACATTGTAACATGCTTCTTTATTCAATAAAGATTATTAGAAGATTTAGAAAATTAGAGATTTAACTGAAAACAGCAAAGTGGATTGTTAGCATAGGACTTATCTAACACAATTAGATATTTTCTTGATAATGTTCCATTGAAAGCTCTATTGAGGGTCAACCTCAAACCCCCCTAGCCTCTCCATGTGTGTCATCCCTAACCCACCGCCAGCCACGGTACCTGGTCTGACAGGAAGTGCTGTCTCAGTGAGCACTTCCTTTTGGACCTCTCAGTCACGCTACACACAGGGCAGGAGGGGAGTAGCACAGTACAGCTCTCCCCTCCTGCTGACAACCGCGGGCCCCTGGCTGGTGAGGCTGCAGGTAGCCTACGGTCGCACAACTGTTTTTAGGTATGCCACTGCCTGGGGGGACTTGATGTTTAAAATTTCAAGGTGTTATCCTATTAAGGCTGGGATGGCGAGGTTAGTTCAAAACCAAGGTTGGTGATAGGAAATGGGGATATGCCCTATCAATGGTTTGATGATTTTATTTGGGGTGTCTCTGGGAGCAAGCTTGTGTTTGAAAATTTCTGTTATAATTGTCATCAGGGCCACCATCAGGGGGCAACCATAACGGTTGTCACGGGCCCGGCGGTCCTGGGGGGCCCGGACCGCTTTGGCAGTCCAGGGACCCGCAATTACTCTCTGCACCTATATATAGTGTTGATCTCTATATATAGGTGCAGCCGCGGGCCCCCCCGGCTCCCAATACTTGCAGAGGGGGCCCAGCAGACTGCAGCTGTACTTTACAGCATTTCCCTCCCTCTAAATCCATGGCAACGCTCCGCATGGCGCACACACCACGTCTCGCGGGAGTTAGAGACAGGGAAATGCTGTAAAGTACAGATGCAGTCCGCTGGGCTCCCTCTGCAAGTATAGGGAGCCGGGGGGGCCACCATGCCACCAGACCACTAAGGATCATGGAATCTTCCCCCCTCCCTGCACCAGGTAAGAAACAGGGAGGGGGGAATAATAGTTATTACATTAACTGCATACACTAGTAAACCCACACACACTGCATTCACTACACTAACACACACACTGCATCCACTACACTAACACACACACTGCATTCATTACACTAACACACACACTGCATTCACTACACTGACACACACTCTGCATTCACTACACTAACACACACTGCATTCATTACACTAACACACACTCTGTATTCACTGCACTAACACACACACTGCATCCACTACACTAACACACACACTGCATTCACTACACTAATACGCACACTGCATTCACTACACTAACACACACACTGCATCCACTACACTAACACACACTCTGCATTCAGTACACTAACACACACTGCAAAGCACAAGGTGTTGAAGATTTCTGTTTGATTGTGTTACATGATTTATTATTATGACAATGACTATGGTTTAATAAAAATTGCTGTGACTTTTTCTACCCACTATGTCTATGTCAGTGATATTTTTATATGGTATGACAGCATGGTGGTTGAGGCTACATTTGTAATGCAGCTTATGGAAGCCCTAGAGAAGTAGAACAGGGCAGTCAGGATTGGTAGGTTTATATGGAGGGCAGAGCTATGCAATTAGAGTATATATACTGGGATGGGTCTGGGAATAACTGCCAGAAATTAATTTTGGAGCAGGAAGAAGTTTGTCCCACCCTCCATCCTCCATTGTAAGCTTGTTCTTGTTTTTTTCAAGCTCTTGCTGTTTGCGCTGTTTTTTCTTTTTCTTTCAGGTGAATGATCTGGTTCCCCAGTGGTGTGCCTACCACGGTCATGGGGGTTACAGCTGCGACCGGGCACGCCACTCCAGGGGGCCTGGCCGCAGGTGCGATCCCTGCGACCATGGGTCAGTTGGGGGGTACAGCTACTTCACTTGTAAGGGGCCCAGGCCACCTGAGGGCCCCGCAAGCCCTGGCCCCTTTCATGTACACAGACCGTATCAGGGAGATCTTTTGATATCCATCCCTGGGTCTTTGCAAAGTTTGCGCAGCAGGAAGGGGTGGAGGCTCTCTGCCTTCACCTCTGAGGCTGGCTAAGTTTTCACTTTCCGAGCATTGCTGTGGTAATCATGGCAATGCTCGATCACACGTGGTGCCAGGACTCACAGGAAGAGCCTTCACCCAGCATAGGTGAAGGCAGAGAGCCTCTGCAGCACCACCACCCTCTCCCTGGATGCTGGTAGGAAACAGGGAAGGGGAGATATACTAAATAATAGTTTTTTTAAATTACATTAACAAAATAAAATATGCTCCCTTTTCAGCACCAACAGCCCCAACAAACACACTCTCTCACACACAATGCATATCTACACACATACACACTGCATCCCTACACACACACACACTGCATCCCTACACACACACACACACACACTGCATCCCTACACATACATACATACTGCATCCGTACAGACACACACACTGCATCCCTACACACACACTGCATCCCTACACACAAACACATGCACACACACACACTGCATCCACAACACTAACACACACTGCATCCACTGCAGTGACACACACTCTGCATTCACTACACTGACACACACACTGCATCCACTACACTAACACGCACTGCATTCATTACATTAACACACACTCTGTATTCACTGCACTAACACACACACAGCATCCACTGCACTAACACACACACTGCATCCACTACACTAACAAACACTGCATCCACTACACTGACACACACACTGCATTCACTACACTGACACACACACTGCATCCACTACACTGACACACACTCTGCATTCATTACACTAACACACACTCTGCATTCACTACACTGACACACACACTGCATTCATTACACTAACACACACTGCATTCATTACACTAACACACACTGCATTCATTGTGGGGCGGGAGGCCTGCCAGGCGAGGGGGGGGGGGCAGACCTTGTGCTTTGTCAGGGTTCCCAAAATTTCTGGTGGTGGCCCTGATTGTCATTGACTAGGTTATATGGTTGAAGATTTCTGTTTGATTGTGTTACATGATTTATTATTATGACAATGACTATGGTTTAATAAAAATTGCTGTGACCTTTTCTACTCACTATGTCTGTGTCAGTGATATTTTTATATGGTATGACAGCATGGTGGTTGAGGCTACATCTGTAATGCAGCCTATGGAAGCCCTAGAGAAGAAGAACAGGGCAGTCAGGATTGGTAGGTTTATATGGAGGACAGAGCTATGCAATTAGAGTATATATACTGGGATGGGTCTGGGAATAACTGCCAGAAATTAATTTTGGAGCAGGAAGAAGTTTGTCCCACCCTCCATCCCTTATTGTAAGCTTGTTCTTGTTTTTGTCAAGCTCTTGCTGTTTGCTGCTGGTTTTTCTTTTTCTTTCAGGTGAATGATCTGGTTCCCCAGTGGTGTGCCTACCACGGTCATGGGGGTTGCAGCTGCGACCGGGCACGCCACTCCAGGAGGCCTGGCCGCAGGTGCGATCCCTGTGACCATGGGTCAGTTGGGGGGTACAGCTACTTCACTTGTAAGGGGCCCATGCCACCTGAGGGCCCCACAAGCCCTGGCCCCTTTCATGTACACAGACCGTATCAGGGAGATCTTTTGATATCCATCCCTGGGTCTTTGCAAAGTTTGCGCAGCAGGAAGGGGTGGAGGCTCTCTGCCTTCACCTCTGAGGCTGGCCAAGTTCTGACTTTCCGAGCATTGCTGTGGTAATCATGGCAATGCTCGATCACACGTGGTGCCGGGACTCACAGGAAGAGCCTTCACCCGGTATAGGTGAAGGCAAAGAGCCTCTGCAGCACCACCACCCTCTCCCTGGATGCTGGTAGGAAACAGGGAAGGGGAGATATACTAAATAATTGTTTTTTAAATTACATTAACAAAATAAAATATACTCCCTTTTCAGCACCAACAGCCCCAACAAACACACTCTCTCACACACAATGCATATCTACACACACATACACACTGCATCCCTACACACACACACACACACACACACACACACTGCATCCCTACACATACATACATACTGCATCCGTACAGACACACACACTGGATCCGTACAGACACATTCACTGCATCCCTACACACACACATGCACACACACACACACACACACTGCATCCATACACACACACACTGCATACCTACACACAATGCATCTCTGCACACAACGCATCCCTACACACACACAATGCATCCCTACACACACATAAACACACACATTGCATCCCTACACACGAACACACATAATGCATCCCTACACACACACACCGCATGCCTACACACACAATGCAACCCAACACACACACAAAATCAAATGCATCCCTACACACACAATGCATCCACACAATGCATCCATACACACACACATTGCATCCCTACACAGGAAACACACATGATGCATCCCTACACACACATTGAATCCCTACACACGAACACACGTAATGCATCAGTACACACACACACACACACACTGCATCTTTACATACACACGTGCATCCCTACACACACACACACACAGCGCAACCCAACACACACACACAAACACAATGCACACAATATGCCTCCCTTACACACACACACACACACACACACAATGCATCCCTTACACACAGAAACAGATACTACTTCAAAAACTGGGTTTTTGAAGTTCTTTTGTATCAACAGCAAAAACATATGTGAGGAAGGCTGAACTTAGTGGACGCAAGTCTCTTTTCAGCTATGTAACTATGTAACTATGTAACTTAGTTTACAGTAGTGGGGAGAGAAGGACACACATGGACGGGCTGGGACGGAGGGAATGACACACATGGTGGCTGGGACGGAAGGAATGACACACATGGAGGGGCTGGGACAGAGGGAATAACACACATGGGGGGGGCTGGGATAGAGGGAATGGCCGACATGGGCGGCTGGGGCATAGTCAATGACACATGGAGGGGCTGGGGGGGATGAGACGGATAGGGGGTTGAGGGGTATGAGACACTTGGAGGGGCCCAGGGCATTTTTTTTGCAGCGGGACCCAGTGATTTCTAGTTATGCCTCTGCGGTTCCAGATTGGTGTTATAGAATTATTTGTCACAGCATTGCTTGATGCTCAAAATGTCATGGTGTTAGTGCATTAAGGCAGGGATGATGGTAGGAGCTAGGAGGTTAGCTCATAACTCGAGGTTGATGTCAGGGCAAGCTTGTGTTTGATAATGTCTGATATAATTTGCTGCATATTGTGTTCTAATTGTTTCACAGCACCCCTCCTTGATCAAACCCTGACATGTTCTCAATCTATAACCAGCATCCCGTCACACCTACCTCATATTGCGGCAGCTGGGACAGTTTACATGAGAGTGATATCAGGCGCCGGCAACAAACCTCAGACTTAAACCTCTGGAAATGGTTTAATCTCTGAAGGTAAGAGGCACTCAGACCCTCCTGCCCAAATAAATTGTTATGAGGATTCAGAGTGTTCCTTTCAGTGAAGACAATTGAATTCAAAAGCTGAGAAACAATAATAACAATAATAAAAAAGACAAACTTTGTTGAAAATGTACAAATGTGTAATCACAAAAATGGTAATTAATTTAAGGTAAATCCTGCAATATTCAAGTGGATATTAATTTGCATATTAAGACTTTCCAGTAGAGCTTCTTCTAAACCAATAATGAGGTACCTGGTCAGAAAAATATATTGTGCAAAGCCAGTCCATAATGCAACTCCTATTACCTTTTGTTTACTTGTGTAATAGGGTATTTTTTTTTTGTAGTATATCAATTGTTATTGTGACATTACAGGCATTGCAAAGCAATCATCAAAAAATGAGAAAAAGACATAAAGGTCACAAGGGATGTCATATATCAGAGTGAACAATTTACATAACAATTAAACAATATAATAATACATTGTAACATCACATACATGTCAGTCAGAGACATTCTAAATCTATGTAGTCTGGCATTCTAATCTCCTTTTCTCCAATTAAGCTTTTTGATCAACATCAAAGAGAAAGGTGTGGGTGCAAGATGTGAGAGGGACAGTGTGATGTCCTAGTGGAAATGTAGCATAGCTATTGCCCATAAAAAGACTAATCTAAGTCTTGGATACATAGTGAACTATTTCTGAGACATCACTTCAAGAAACATGATATTACAGCAGTCTTTACAAATAAGAGTAAAGCTGTAGGCTACTGGAGTTCTATGGGCAACCCTTGGGAGAATAATGGTACGTGGAAAGGGTTGAGTCCCAACTACAACAAGGTTAGCTGTTTAGAGTAGGCAGTCAACTCTTGTAAAAAAGCCTGTTAAAGGAACACTCATTAAGCACTTCAGCACATCACCGCCGACAGTATATATAAACTACACCATTATCTCTACACTTCTGTTTCCCCATCTGCAAGTCTATCTTTACAACAAATGCATAGCAGGCAGATTTCTCAGAATGACAAACTATATCACAATGTTTGTGGTCCAGGCTGGAGGGGAGGCAGGGGCTCTGCCACTTGTGCTATGTGACACATTAAAGTACCTTTTTGTCACATTTCTCCCCCCAAAGAAAGTCCTGCTGCATGCTGGGACCCTACAGCCCAGGTCAAAGTCTGCAGGAGGACAGGGTTCCCCTCTGCTCTCCTAGACAGTCCTTCAGCATTGCCATGTGACTGGACAGAGCCGGTGCAAAGATTTTTGGGTGCACAGGTGAAGATGATTTTGGAGGACCTCCAAAAGCATCTTCACCTCTGTGTCTCTTAACCCAACATTTGTTTCTTATCTCCTTTTTTAAATGTCTTACCCCTTTAGTGTCTTATCCCCTATTTCTTCCCCATAGTTTGTCTTACACCTCCCTTGTGTATCTCCTACTACGCTCCTTTGTGTTTCTTACTCCCCCCAGCCTCTGTGTCTCCTTCTTTCCCAGGCCCCTTGTGTCTTTTACTCTTACCAATAGGATTTGACTAGTCCATACAGCTATATATTTAGTTAATATCTGGATAGACTTTTCTATATTGTTCACCTCCACTATATATCTAGCTGTATTATTTTACAGGACCAGCCTTTCCAATTCTCTTTAGGTGTAAGCGCTCACTTTACTACCTTTTATATATTTATATATTTCTTTTGATGTATCCGGTACTATTAGCACTATCATTATTGTATATATTTTTTAGTATTTTTCAATAAAGGTTGTTTACCCTATTTATGTGACGTTGCACATTAGGAGGTACTTTTAAATGGGTTAGGCACTCCACCCACTTGTCGTGAGTGGACTTCCCACCCCATTTTCTTTGTCTTTACTATTATTAATTTTGGTGTTAAGCCCCCTATACCTCCTGTAACCTCTTTGTTGGAGGAGTGGTGGTAGTGTTTCCTACCCCATAACTCCTCCCTCTTTCTTTATTATGGATTTTTATTTGGCCTTTTTTGGAGCTGAAAAAAGAAGATTTTAGAAAAAGTTTATTTTTTTCAGGTACCTAGTTAATGGTCTTTCCTCACTATTTTTAGGGTGAGGGGGGTAGGTAGGGGTTAAATATTTTTTTGGGGAGGGGGGTGACTAGAGGTTTGGGGGTTTGGGGGGGTTATATTTTTATTTAGGGCCCCCACCCGCTGCTCAGGGGTTGGGGCAGGGGAGGGAGGACAATAGGACCCCCCATTTTTCTAATTTAGGGCCCCCACCCACCGCTCAGGGGTGGGGGCCAGGGGGGAGGACAGTAGGTACCCCCCTTATTGGTATTTAGGGCCCCCACCTGCCGCTCAGGGGTGGGGGTTGAGGGGGAGGACTATAGGTCCCCCCCCATACTAACTTAGGGCCCCCACCTGCCACTCAGGGGACAATAGGTCCCCCACCCCTTATTCTAATTTAGGCCCCCCACCCACAACTGGAAGTTGCCGATGTTCCGAAGTGTCGAAGTGCCAAAGTTCCAAAGTGTCAAATTTCAAAATGCCGAACCGTAAATTTTTCTCATGCACATCCCTAGTCTCTTGTACCCAGCCAGACTGATATGAAGTGCTCTATCAGTGAGCACTTCCTTTCAGTCCGGCCGGGTACAGGAAAAATAAGTTCCTGTACCGCAGTGAGCACTGCTCCGCTTGGCCACGCTACACAGAGTGCATGAAAAGAGGGAGCGCTGTGCACCCACCTCCTGCCGGTCACTTAAATCTAGCGCCCCTCGGGCCGATGCACCCTAAGGCAGCCGCTTGTGCCGCATTATGGACGTGCCGGACCTGTGACTGGACTTTGTGGTATTGGATTGTAAGATTGTACTGTTGAAGTGCCAAGCTCCATCTCAGCAGTCGCCCATTGTCACCTGCCACTCGGTTTAGCCAGCAGAGAGGATTGTGGTCTGTTACCACAGTGAACTCTCTGCCATAGAGATAGGTTTGTAGCTTCTTGAGAGCCCAGACTACAACAAGGCACTCTTTCTCTATGGCCGCATAGCTGACCTCTCGAGCCAACAGCTTTCGACGGAGAAAAGCTACTGAATGCTCAATCTCTTGACTATGCACTTGACCTGAGACTGCCCCAATGCCATACATAAAATGCCATATAAATAGTTTGTTGTGATCCAGGGTGGCCAACACCGGGTGGGTACTTGAACTTTCTTTTACCTGAAAGAAGGTGGACTCGCATTCCGGCGTGCATGTAACCTTTTTCCTGGTCATATCTGTTAAAGGTTTTGCAATGGCACTGTACTGGGGCACAAACTTACTAAAATATCCCAAAGTCACCAAGAAGATAAGCACATCCTTCTTGGTATGGGGCCTTCACCTGCCCTCCCCTCACCCAATGGCCTAAATTCTGGATCTTCCCCATGGTATAGTTACATTTGCCGGATTTAATTGTCAGCATTGCTTTCCCAATCCAGTTGAGAACTAACAGTACTTACTGTACATGATTTGACCAGGAAGCGCTACAGATAGCAATATCATCCAGGTATGCACACGCAAAGTCCCCGGACGAGCTGGTCAACTAATCGCTGGTAAAGGGTGCGTTCTTCATTCTGAATGGAATTACAGAAAGCTGGTAAAGCCCGAACGGAGTGATGATGTCAGACTTCTTCTTCACCTTCTCTCGAATTCTCCAATAGCCCATGGCCAGATCTAGCATAGACTATTTTGTCTTATGATTGCTATTAATTGGAGGTTCAATTAAATATTCTATTTTAATGAAAAACTCAAAAGTGACATTGAGTCAGTTTAGCAACCACAATAATTGGTTCTCAAAATACAGAACATTTTCATTAAGAACAAAGGTCATTATTTAGTTTTGTGCCAAATCGTTATTTGAAAGTGTTAGGGGAATAAAAAGGCAAGAATACTCTATAATTAACTGTAACCTACAGGCACTCCCCTTAATCATTGGGGAAAAGGACACCTTATAAATTGTTGCCACTGCAATATCAAAAAGAAAATGAAAGAATCAGAGAGATAACACAGCACAGCACGGTGAGAATAATCTACCAGTTTCACTGCCAGAACTTAATTATTGTAGAATACTATATTTAGGCAAGTTTAGCATTGTAGTAATTTGGAGATAGGATTACTGAGGAAAACATGAGCTGACATGCTACACAAATTACCTATTTCTCACATTTTATTAGACAGACAGGAAAGAAAGAAAGAAAGATAGAAAGCAAGAAAGAAAAGGATTTTATTGAAATAAAAAATTGCATGTATTACAGCCTTGTGTGCATATGTCTGTAATGCGTACATATAAATTCTTTTTTCAGTGTATATCCTGACTTTCCTTTTCTCCATGGAGGTGACTATTTCTTTGGTCAGAATCACTGGTTATCTGACCTAAGACTGTGCAGGGAATTTAGAACTATGTCTTTGTATCTTATGCACAGACTGGGCATCTCAAAAAATGCATACTAGCCTGTTTTGAGCTGTTCAGATTGTTTTGTATTGTATTGCGTGAGTGGTTTCAAAGTGGTCACAAACAAAAAAGAATTCTGCCTATAATAAGCCTGAAATTTAAAACTGCTATTGCTTAAAACTGGGATTAAAACTTGATTTTATTTATGTTAAGTGACCAACTAGGACCTTTGTTTGCTGGACAAATAATAGGAGAAGTATTGGAATGGATCCGCAGCTGTGAACGTGTGTATAATTAACTATGCCGTGACAGTTATTTGAATAGATCTGAAACCAATGTTCAGACAAGTTCTTACATTATTATTATTATTATTATTATTATTTTATTATTTATATAGCGCCAACAAATTCCGTAGCGCTGTACAATGGGTGGACTAACAGACACATAATTGAGATCAGACCACTGACGTACAGGAACAGAGGGGGTTGAGGGCCCTGCTCGATGAGCTTACATGCTAGAGGGAGTGGGGTATAGTGACACAAAGGGTTAAAGTAGGGGAATTAAATAGTTTTTTACAGAAGGGTTTATTGAGTGCTTGGTAGGTCATTTTTGACAGGTGAAGGAACGGAGTCATGGGTTGGGGGATGAGAAACCTGCTGACAGTTTAATTGATACGCTTTAATGAAGAAGTGAGTTTTCAAAGATTTTTTGAAGGAATGGAGGCTGGGTGAAAGTCTGATTGAGGAGGGAAGGGATGTTTATGGAAGCCAATCTCTAACAATCAAAGACAGACATGGGTGATATAGGAACTCTCTGGGTCACACATAACAAAGTAGTCAGACAAGTTAAACCTGATTGTAACAAATAAAAGTACCCCTACAAGCCTATACAGGAATACACTGGATCAACGCTAGACAATATCTAAGTAATCTTTAAGTCGATAGATAATATTTAAGTAAAGTCATCTTATAAAACAAACTGCCTGACGTGCAACCATTGACTACTCCTGATGTGTTAGGTGAAGTAAAAAGCATAGCAATGGCCGCTTTAATGTTGTAATGAGTTACAGTACTATACAACAATGTGGGAAAACTTAGAACGGGAGATCTAATAAGTTAAAGTAACACATCTTAGAAGTAGCTATAGAATTGTATAAATGTTGTTAACTTTCCCTCATTTGTAGACAGCCTGCCTGACTGTGTAATGCTAGAGGTTAATGGTTTAGAAATATTTTCATTAACTTAATTCAATAATACAGGGTATTCTTAAGAGTTAGACAAACACCCCACCCCCACCACAGTGTACATGGTGTCTATGTTTCAAGTATTTTTTTTTAAAACACACTTACACACGAACCTACACCTGCTTCCCCACATGCAAAATACATACAACCCAAAACTGATTCATCACCCTAGGAAGCACATATACACCAAACCACCTTGCTCAAGCCCACCACTCTCACAGACACCCCAAACTCAAAACAACCCTGTAAGTCTCCCATTTGTGCGTAAAACATATTAGCTCAAGTATAGAAATGCAGTGTGCGGCTAGAGGATTTTATAAATTGAGCAGAAAAAAATCACTTTCATAATATTGGTTTCCCCAAATTTGTGAATAGTGTTTCCAGATAAAAATTAAAGAATAAATAAAAAAAAAAAGCCAGAAAACAGCCAGGAAAGTGAAGACATATGGAAATTGAAAATTGAGGTGTAACACGGGTAGCTAAAGTCTCATTTTGTACCAAATACTTAATGTTGATTTTATTTTATTTTCTTTTGTGATAATTACCCAACACTTTAATTTTGTTGCTTTTATTTTTTTAGTGACAATTCCTCTATTTTACATAAATAACCTGTCTTAATCTCTCTCTTTCCAGCTTCTTCATGAGTTCCTCCACTATTATTCTTTGATGCTCAACAATAGAATTGAACATCTATATTGTCATCTCTAGGAGTACAGTAGTCCCTTCAAAATTATATGTAACACGGCACTGTCTTCGTTACTGATGTTACCTATATTTATTTTAGCCTCCATGGCAATGTTGGGGCTCAGCACTTTAATAGGAGTATTAACTAACACATTCATTATTGTTGTGAATATTATCGATAAGATCAAAGGGAAGAACCTTAGCTCCCCAGACCTCATCCTGGCCACACTGTCTGCATCAAATGTTTTATTTCAGTTCATTATGTTGACTAATGACTATGTAAGTTTCCTGCACACTGATCTCTACTTTACGGATAAGGTGTATATCACCTTCACAGTCCTGCTGATCCTCCCGGTCTACTCAAGTTTCTGGTTCACTGTTTGCCTCTCTGTTTATTATTGCTTGCAGATTGTAATATTCACTCATCCCCTTTTAATAAGGTTAAAGTTGGTTGTGTCACGGTGGGTTCCACACCTCCTAATAGCCTCCATCTTTACCTCAATGACCACTGGCCTCCCTGCTGCCTGGAACTTCTACAGGGATGAACAAGATTTTAACACATCGTCCAATCAAAATACAGAAATTTCTGTTCCCAAACTGAATGTCATCTATCTGCTTCCAAGTAACCTCATTAGCTGTTCACTTCCATTAGTTCTTGTTGGGATTGCCGATGTGTTAATTATCAAAGCCCTGGTGACCCACAGGCACAAAGTTGATAGAAATACAAATGGAGAGTCGAGTGGTCATGCTGAAGGTCGAGTAAGGGCAGCCAGGACAATTAGCTGCCTCCTCTTGCTATATATGCTTTTCTACATATCTGAGATTTTCATGTTCATAGATGTTTTCCCTCCCAGTAGTCCCGGATTCTGTGCCTGTTTAATGGTTATCTACAGTTATCCGCCTGCACAGTCTATTGTTCTGATTCTTGGAAGCCCCAAACTGAAACAAGTTTCTCTTAATTTACTAAAATGCACTGGGGCATTTTATACGGACCCTCCTAAAACAGTCTTCTTTATAAAGCTCAGCTTTAAAAAGACAACACAACAAACAGAGTGACTTTTATACAACTTTTTACTGTCCCCTATTTTATTTTGTGCTGTTTATCTGTGCACATTGTATGGCAAATATATATTTACAGATTCTTCTGTGTCCAGTATGGTGGCAGAATTTTTACAACAAATTTCAGCTCATGTTTGTGTCGCACGTGTCATACTCTCACCTGGAGTACTTTCTTATCTGTCTCAGGCCAAAGTTCATAATTATAGCTTTTTAAGGAAGAAATATTTGTTTTTGTGAAGTAGGTAGAATAATATTGATTATTAAAATTTTTGCATTTAATTGAATTACTTTTTTAGTTGAATAAAGTGATCTGTTCATTATTATTACTATAAACTATTACTATTACTATAAACTCTTTTAGTAACAAATAAAAAATATCCACAATCCTGGACAACTCTACATTTTTCAGTTTCTGATTTAGTCTTGTTGTGAAACAGTTTCCAGTAGAATACAATCTTGAGAGTTTTTAAGCGTGTTCCAGGGTAATTTATCTACAAGCGTGTAGTATTTTGTTGTGAAGCATGCTCAAAATAAAAAGTATTTAAATTAAAAGCAAAAGTGTAAAATGTAATTTTTATTTGTTTTTAAAAATATTTTTAGATCATGAATTGATGACGTTTACTATTATATGATAGGTTTTAAAATTGTATTTTATATATATTTCTATATACTGGAATGTACCTGTATTCATATTAAATAAATGCAGTTATTGACACTGCCTTAACATTCAACAGGGTGCTGCATAATTTTATATATACAGTTGCAAGAAAAAGTATGTGAACCCTTTGGAATGATATGGATTTTTGCACAAATTGGTCATAAAATGTGATCTGATCATCATCTAAGTCACAACAATAGACAACCACAGTCTGCTTAAACTAATAACACACAAAGAATGAAATGTTGCCATGTTTGTATTGAACACACCATGTAAACATTCACAGTGCAGGTGGAAAAAGTATGTGAACCCTTGGATTTAATAACTGGTTGAACCTCCTTGGGCAGCAATAACTTCAACAAAACGTTTCCCGTAGTTGCAGATCAGACGTGCACAACGGTCATTAGTAATTCTTGACCATTCCTCTTTACAGAACTGTTTCAGTTCAGCGATATTCTTGGGATGTCTGGTGTGAATCGCTTTCTTGAGGTCATGCCACAGCATCTACATCGGGTTGAGGTCAGGACTCTGACTGGGCCACTTCAGAAGGCATATTTTCTTCTGTTTAAGCCATTCTGTTGTTGATTTACTTCTATGCTTTGGGTCATTGTCCTGTTCCAACACCCATCTTCTGTTGAGCTTCAGCTGGTAGACAGATGCAAGGCTGTTGCCTATAAAAATTCATAGGCAAGAAAGAGAGGCTGAGACACTTTCCTGAATGGGATGGGTCTCTCATATGCAAATGCATTGCTTTAAGATTGTTAGAATTAGATTTTTTATTTTATTTTGTTATTTTCAATTCAATATATTTATGGTGAGGGTGTGAGAGATATATAAATACCCTCACCATAAAGTGCTTGGTGCAGTAGAACACACAAAAATCTTAAAATGCTTCTCTATGGGGCTTCCCAGGTATATCCCCCTCAAAAACAGCCAATATACACAAATACACTGCTCAAAACAATAAAGAGAACACAAAACTAACACATCCTAGATCTGAATGAATTAAAAATTCTTCTGGAATACTTTTGTTCTTTACATAGTTGAATGTGCTGACCACAAAATCACACAAAAATTAAAAAATGGAAATCAAATTTTTCAACCCATGGAGGTCTGGATTTGGAGTCACACTCAAAATTAAAGTGGAAAAACACACTACAGGCTGATCCAACTTTGATGTAATCTCCTTAAAACAAGTCAAAATGAGGCTTAGTAGTGTGTGTGGCCTCCACGTGCCTGTTTGACCTCCCTACAATGCCTGTGCATGCTCCTGATGAGGTGGCGGATGGTCTCCTGAGGGATCTCCTCCCAGACCTGGATTAAAGCATCTGCCAACTCCTGGACAGTTTGTGGTGCAACGTAACATTGGTGGATGGAGCGAGACATGATGTCCCAGATGTGCTCAATTGGATTCAGGTCTGGAGAACAGGCGGGCCAGTCCATAGCATCAATGCCTTTGTCGTGCAGGAACTGCTTACACACTCCAGCCACATAATGTCTAGCTCCTCCTGTTCCTCCTTGCACAAAGGTGGAGGTAGCGGTCCTGCTGCTGGGTTGTTGCCCTCCTGCGGCCTCCTCCACGTCTGCTGATATACTGGCCTGTCTCCTGGTAGCGCCTCCATGCTCTGGACACTACGCTGACAGACACAGCAAACCTTCTTGCCACAGCTCGCATTGATGTGCCATCTTGGATGAGCTGCACTACCTGAGCCACTTGTGTGGGTTGTAGACTCCAGCTCATGCTACCACTAGTGTGAAAGCACCGCCAGTTTTCAAAAGTGACCAAAACAACAGCCAGGAAGCATAGGAACTGAGAAGTGGCCTGTTGTCACCACCTGCAGAACCACTCCTTTATTGGGGGTGTCTTGCTAATTGCCTATAATTTCCACCTGTTGTCTATCCCATTTGCACAACAGCATGTGAAATTGATTGTCACTCAGTGTTGCTTCCTAAGTGGACAGTTTGATTTCACAGAAGTGTGATTGACTTGGAGTTACATTGTGTTGTTTAAGTGTTCCCTTTATTTTTTTGAGTGTGTGTGTATATATATATATATATATATATATATATATATATATATATAGTTTGTTTATTGTATTTTTGTAATATTGTATCCTATTGTAACAATGCAATGTTTTGTGGACCCAGGACATACTTGAAAATTAGAGAAATCTCAATGTATCCATCCTGGTAAAATATTTTATGAATAAATAAATAAATACCAGATCTGGTATCTCCCACATATGATGTCTCCCACATAGCAAGAACAATGTGTGTGCATCATTAGCTATGGTAGAGTGTGCTGGGAGCACTAAGAATTTACATAGAGAGCTTCAGCAGTGCTCTGTATATTTTCTTCCCTGAGTGGAGCTAGTCAGGTACCTTTCAGTCAGCCTCTGTCTTAATATTAAAGTAATAGAGGTCCAGGCACTCCTTGATTCAAGACAGGTACTTTATTAGGAACCACAACAGCAACGTTTCGACCCCAAAGGTCTTTGTCAAGCTGTCTCAATCTGTGAGGTATGCATTAGTCCACTGATATACATATCATCTGCCACTCTATAGCTCATACAAGATGGAGATGCCACTCCGAAGACAGGAAATTGGCACATATTCATTAGCAATGCCCAAAATTTGTTGGCAGTAAAATAATTAGATTGATAATACCAAGAGACTTTAGCATTTCATCTCTTCTAACTTTCAAAACAAAACCTAAAAATTTCCATTCTATACATTATAATATATAATTCTTAAATACTATATAAAAGCAATAAATAATGGGATAAAAGTAGATTATTTTAACTTTTTCCATGAACTTTAATGGTATAGCTCTCGGAATTCTCATACAAACTCATACACATGCACATTTCCACTCATACTCACACATAGTTTCACAGATGCAAACAGATACTTATTCCTATACATACCCATTCCCAAACACACAAACACAGAGACATGCATGTGCATATACAAACAGATATAGAAATTCACATATATATATTTGTGTAAGGGGCAAATAGCCGTATATGGAGTAAGGTTCCAGCATAAGCGTAGGATAGTATAAAGGGAGCAAGTCGGTTGTGGTGTGCCGAGACCGACGATACGGTAGGCCTGTAAATAAAGAGGACCCACCAAGGAGTAAGAAAGTAAAGTAAATGGAAAGAGAAAGTGTTGAAATGAGGAGTGGGTGGGAGGGTCACCCAATTTTTTAAATACTTTCATTTGCCCCTGGCCTTATCTTATAGTTAGGATAGCCTTATGCCTATCCCACGCATGCTTAAACTCCTTTACTGTGTTAACCTCTACCACTTCAACTGGAAGGCTATTCCATGCATCCACTACCCTCTCAGTAAAGTAATACTTCCTGATATTATTTTTAAACCTTTGTCCCTCTAATTTAAGACTATGTCCTCTTGTTGTGGTAGTTTTTCTTCTTTTAAATATAGTCTCCTCCTTTACTGTGTTGATTCCCTTTATATATTTAAATGTTTCTATCATATCCCCCCTGTCTCGTCTTTCCTCCAAGCTATACATGTTAAGATCCTTTAACCTTTCCTGGTAGTTTTATCCCGCAATCCATGAACCAGTTTAGTAGCCCTTCTCTGAACCCTCTCTAAGGTATCAATATCCTTCTGAAGATACGGTATCCAGTACTGTGTACAATACTCCAAGTGAGGTCTCACCAGTGTTCTGTACAATGGCATGAGCACTTCCCTCTTTCTACTGCTAATACCTCTCCCTATACAACCAAGCATTCTGCTAGCATTTCCTATTGCTCTATTACATTGTCTGCCTACCTTTAAGTCATCAGAAATAATCACCCCTAAATCCCTTTCCTCATATGTTGAGGTTAGGACTCTATCAAATATTCTGTACTCTGCCCTTGGGTTTTTACGTCCAAGATGCATTATCAAGCACTTATCCATATTATATGTCAGTTGCCACAATTCTGACCATTTTTCTAGTTTACCTAAATCATTTGCCATTTGGCTTATCCCTCCTGGAACATCAACCTTGTTACATATTTTAGTATCATCCGCAAAAAGACATACCTTACCATCAAGACCTTCTGCAATATCACTAATAAAAATATTAAAGGGAATGGGTCCAAGTACAGATCCCTGAGGTACCCCACTGGTGACAAGTCCAAGCTTCGAATATATTCCATTAACTACAACCCTCTGTTGCCTGTCACTCAGCCACTGCCTTACCCATTCAACAATATTGGAATCCAAACTTAAAGATTGCAGTTTAGTGATAAGCCTTCTATGTGCAACAGTGTCAGAAGCCTTACTAAAATCTAGGTAAGCAATGTCTACTGCACCACTCTGATCTATAATTTTAGTTACCCAATCAAAAAAATATATAAGATTAGTTTGGCATGATCTCCCTGAAGTAAACCCATGTTGTCTCTGATCTTGAAATCCATGTGTTTTTAGATGTTCAACAATCCTATCCTTTAACATGGTTTCCATCACTTTCCCCACTACTGAAGTAAGGCTTAGTGGCCTATAGTTGCCCGACTCCTCCCTATTACCTTTCTCGTAAATGGGCACAACATTCGCTAACTTCCAATCTTCTGGGACTACTCCTGTTAACAATGATTGGTTAAATAAATCTGCTAATGGTTTTGCTAGTACACCACTAAGCTCTTTTAATAGCTGTGGGTGTATTCCATCAGGTCCCATTGACTTATTTGTCTTTACTTTTGACAGTTGAAATAGAACCTCTTCCTCTATAAACTCACATGTAATAAATGACTCATTTATCCTTTTTCTTAACTGAGGTCCTGTCACGGTAGTTTACCCCTACACGCAGGATTTAGTTCAACAATCGACAGATAGAGCACATACGACTTACCGGACCTTAGAATGGCCGGACTCGCCGTATAGCAGAGAATAGACAGAGTCAAGAACAAGCCGAGGTCAAGGGAACAAAGAGACAGCGAGAACAAAAACTAGCCAAGGTCTGGTACACAGTAGTCAGTAAGCTGACAAACAAGACAAAACAGGGATAGAGAGATAAACGGAGTCAGATACAAAGCCAAGGTCAAGCACGAAAATCACAACTGAACACAACAAGCGCTAAAGGGAACTGAAACAGAAACCACGATAGGGCAGGGAGTTAAGGGAGAGGTAAGTATAAATACCCTAAACTTTACTTTGATTGGCCCCTGTCATATCCACGCCCCCAAAATGTGAGTGTCTGGGGAATGTAGGATGACAGGGGCCAATGGGAGCACATTTCATTTTTTGGCTCCCACTGCCCCTTGAAGAGCGTGCCCGAGACGCGCGGCACGCTCTAAGAGCTAGGCGGAACACGTGAGGCAGTCAGCTAGACCTTTATCCTCTTCTACATTAATCTAACTAATCCTTGTTTTACTTTTCTTTTCTCATTTATGTATCTAAAAAAAGTTTTGTCCCCCTTTTTTACTGACTGTGCTATTTTCTCTTCCGTGTGTGATTTGGAAGCTCTTATAACTTGCTTAACCTCTTTCTGCCTAAACTAACGTACCAAATTCTAACGTAACCCAAACGGACTCTATGTTCACCTCACTAACTTTTATTAGGCTAGATTTTATGCTACCCTTCACATACAGGGCCACCCCTCCCCCTTTCTTGCCTTTCCTGTCTTTTCTATATAAAGAGTACCCTGGTATTGCTATGTCCCAGTCAGTTTTTCTCATTGTACCATGTCTCAGTAACAGCGACTAAATCTATACTATCAGTTGCCATTATTGCCACAAGTTCATGGATCTTATTCCCTAAACTGCGAGCATTTGTAGACATGACTCTAAGCTTATCATTTGTTAACACACTTGCTACAGGCACCTTCTGTCCTTGTTTTGGGGGACAATTAAATTGATGTTTTATCACCCTTTTGCCCCCCCCTCCTAGTTTAAATACATCCTAGCAAAACCTCTGAACTGCTCACTGAGAACATTTGTTCCCCTTTGAGAAAGATGCAAACCATCTTTTTTGTACAGGTTATTTCCATTCCAAACAGAGCTACCATGAGAAATAAAGCCAAATCTTTGCTCCCGACACCATTCACCAAGCCACAAATTAAAGTCCCTAATACGCATCCGCCTGTCGTTCTGAGTGTTATGCACAGGCAGAACTTCAGAGAATGACAGTGTGGAAGCAACCTGCCGTATATCATTGGCAAAAACACTAAAACTTCCTTAACCTCTGAAACCTCATTGCAAGCCAAGTCATTTGTCCCTAGATAGACAAGTACATCCAATTCCCCTTCCTGCTTTGCTTGCTTAACAATATTACAGATACGTCTCCTGTCTCTGTGAGCAGTAGCTCCGGGAAGACACCTCACAAGACCACCATTGTCCATCTCCACACCTCTTATGATGGAATCCCCCAACAACAACTGCTTTCTATTAGGCCTCACCATAGTCTCCAAGCCGGTCTCCACAACACCACTAGCCTCAGTGCCTCTCTCCACAACACCACTAGCCTCAGTGCCTCTCTCCACAACACCATTACACTCTGAAAGTGCAGAAAATGAATTATGTAGAGCAGCAGACTGTGCAATATGCCTTTTATCCACAACTCTAAGTCTACCAGATCCTACAGTAATCCATCTGCCATTCCTAGTATGTCTCTGCGGCAGTGGCTTTGCAGCAGTTCCAGTCTGAGTTTGTTTACTAGATAATTTACAAATCTCAGACTTCAAGAATTCAATCTCCTGCCGCAAGATAGAGAACTGTCTACAGATTAGACAACAACCAAAGCTCCAAAAAGTGGAATGTGAAACAAATGCAACTATTACACTGAACTAAGTCTGCCATTCCAATGAGGTGAATAATTTAAATCAAACAAATCTTAACTTTTTATTTATCCTCCTGAATACCTCAGATTACCTCCAGTTTATCTCCAGAATATCTCCAACCACACACTTAGATGCAACACTCTCCAGAATATCTCCAACCACACACTTAGATGCAACACTCTCCAGAATATCTCCAACCACACACTTAGATGCAACACTTAGATGAAGCAGCCAAGCTATATTAGCCAAGCTAATGACAACAACCCTTATATAACTCCTAAAATCACCATCCACTAGGAATGTTTAACACCTGGGTAGGCCTCTGCTTATTTGCAAACAATAGCTAATTTAAACAGCAATCAATAGCAAGTAGCTAACTAATCAAATCAAATGCCTTATAATTACCAACAGGAAATCAAACCTTGTGCAATCAGTAACCTTTTCCTACAGATGAATCTTACCTGTAACAGTAGAAAAGAAAACTCTTAGCACAACTCTTTGACAGTTGAAGCTTCTGTAAAACTCTCCAGAATATCTCCAACCACACACTTAGAAGCAACACTTAGATGAAGCAACCAAGCTATATTAGCTAAGCTAATGACACTTATATAACTCCTAAAATCACCACCGACTAGGGATGTTTAACACCTGGGTAGGCCTCTGCTTATTTGCAAACAATAGCTAATTTAAACAGCAATCAATAGCAAAAAGAAGCAAAACCTAGGAGAAATGTTATGACACAGGTTGAGCGATGTCGTGTTCCAATGAGATTCATTAAGCCAGGTGAAAAGCTGTGTTATGCTTTCTACACGTATGGGACGAAAGTTCTAGGTGGTATAGTGCATGCTATGCTGCATGAGTATGTCTAATCCATGATTTTGTCTATGGAACGAAATAGTGGCCGTGACTGTATGGGCAGCTGTAGGAAGCGTATGATGAACATGCCTGGAACATAAATTAGACAATTGTCGGCAGGGATGTATACCCCCGCCTGGCAGTGGCGTAGCGTGGGTTGTCAGCACCCGGGGCAAGGCAAGTAATTTGCGCCCCCTAACCCGTGGATTTTAGCACTCGAGTCTCTTCCACTAGATTAGTTAAAGAAACCCTTACCCCCCAAGCACATGTATTGTTTGTTATGAAAATACTTATGTAATTAAAGTAAAATGCACAGCCAGCCCACTGAGCCCAGTCAGTCCTGACTCCTACCTTTTTTTTCACCGGCTGTCCCGGACCCGATCACAGCAGTCAGCAGGCTAGGTTTTCTCCTCCAGGTCCTCCTAGGTTTTCCTCCTGCAGCGTCTGTCACCACTGGCTCCCTCTCTCCTCTCTGGCCTGGCTGTGTCACCTGCCGCCGCTGCCAGCTTCTTCTTGCTGCTGCCTGGGCTGGTCTGGTGACTGGTGTGGTTCTCTCCCGTGCTCAGCGCTGCGCTGGGCGGCCGCTGTACTGTCCCTCCCCCAGATAGTCCCTCGCTCTCTCTTCGCACCCACCGCACCGCACGCCTGGCACCAGGGCCGGTGCAAGGATTCTTGCTGCCCTAGGCAAGAATACATTTTGACGACCCCTTATGAATGCAACTACATTCCCTCAGAAGTTTATTCACTAAACTCTGAATTACACTAAAGAGACATTTAGGGAAAGAGGCACACTGAGTAGATATTAAAGGGAAACTATAGTGCCAGGAAAACAAACTTGTTATCCTGGCACTATAGCTTCCCCCTCCGTCAAGCGCATCCCCCCTCGTGGTGCAGCAGGGGTTAAAACACCTTCTGTCACTTACCTGGGTCCAGCACCAATGTCTTTTGTGCTGGCTTGGGTCCGCCTTAGCTCCTCAATGGCCGCGCTCGCAGTGGTATTTCCGTGACTGGACGTCCCCATGCATAGCCACTAGAGGAGTTAACCCTGAATGGTAATTATTGAAGTTTCTTAAAAATTGCAATAATTACCTTTGAAGTGTCACTTACCCATTTTCTCGCTAATACACACACTCTCTCACTGGCATACACACTTACACATTCTAACTCTAACTTACACACTAACACATACACATTCTCACTGACCTACACATTGTCACTTGCACACTCTCACTAACATACACAGTGTCACTTACACACTCTCACTAACACACACAGTGTCACCTACATACTCTCACTTATACACACACACTCTAACTTACACACTCTCACTGGCATAGACATTGTCAGTTACACACTCTAACACCACACAGTGTCACACATGCTCACTAACAGTGTCACTTGCACACTCTCACTAAGTGTCACTTGCACTCTCTACCTAACACATACTCACTAACAGTGTCACTTGTACACTTTCCCTAACACATACTCACTAACAGTGTCACTTGCACACTCTCCCTAACACACACACCCAGAGTCACTTGCACATTCTCACTAACACACACACACACACACACACAGAGTCACTTGCACACTCTCCCTAACACACACACTGTCACTCAAACACAAACTTTACATAAGGTCACACTTTATTTACACACACAAACACACCAATTTAACACACTCCCCCATTTACAAACATGCACACAATAAGCAATCCCCCTTAACCATGCCATACCTGGGTGCTGTGCCATACCTGGGTGCTGTGCTGAGCAGAGGTCCAGGCTGCAGGATCCAGGATCTTGCTCTTTCTCCTGGGGGAGCAGGAGAGCCATGCACTTTGAGCACAGCCTGCTTCCTGCTCCCTTCACAGTGCTTCTGGTGTTCACAGGCTCCCCCTGCCTGCAGGAAGCACAGTGCTCTGCTCGGGTTACAGCAAACCCCACTGCCCGAGCAGGTAAGCTTAATGGTAGCGCCGGCCCTGCCTGTACCTCCCCTCCACAGTGGGTGGCGACCCGGCGGCTCGGATCGGATTCGCACAGCTAGCACTGCAGAGAGAGTGAGTGAGCCAGGCAGGGGCAGAGAGCTGCGAGTGCGAGCGCACCCCCCCAGATGTTGCGCCCGGTGCGGCCGGCCCCCCCTGCACCCCCTCGCTACGCCCCTGCCGCCTGGTACATGAAAGTAAAAGAAATGTGATAAGTGGCCAACTAAGTGAGTTCCCCAGAAATATCATGATCGTATGTATGATGAGTGGCATTTGTTGATGATATGACATGTGCTTAGTTCTCGAGTAACAACGGATTGATGACCCTGACCATGATTTACCCCATGCCACAGCAGCTGCTACAAAGAGGCTGAGGTGGTGGAAAAATTTACAAACCTGGATGCCATGGCCAACAGCTCCAAAGCAATCGTTCCTAGTAGATCGCTGCCAAACCCGTGGTAGACGCCGCGTCTGACCATCTGGTTGGAGAAGTGTCAGACAATCCTGGAAGGAACATGCTTTTACCATGCCAAGTGGTTAAGAAATTCCCCCCCATGTGCAGGTCTGCTTTGGCTGGGGTGTCTAGGGACATCCTCTGATCATCATGTTGGAAGTGTGGAAAAAAAGGGAAAGTACTCTGGATGTGAAAGCGTGGTCTTGTGGTATGATTGGCATGGCAAAATTAAGGAACCTGGTAGGGATTGTAGTTACTTCTGGTTGTAAGTACTAAGCAGGAGGTAGTGATTGATGTAGTTGAGATTGTTCCCTATTTGTCTTGTGGTAACTTGCGTGTATGGATGCCGACTCAAGTAGTATGCCCAGTGATGTGATGATGGTACTGGGATGCCCAAGTGGTCAACCAGACTAAGCTGCCGTGAGGCTTCTAGTGAAAAATATGTTATTTTTGATCAACAAGAAGTCTTCTAGATAGTGTATGACTGTAAGGCCTCTGGATATGTTATTATAACCAGCACAGAGTATCTGCGAATATCGATAGTAGGCTAATCTGTAGCCCGAAAGTTGAGCGGGGAAAGGATTGCCCATTTTATGCCATGTAAATGCCGGTGTGTAGTGTAGATGGTAGCCGTTTACTGCATTGATGATATTGGTCTTACTTAACCAAGCTTCAACCCATGCTTGAGTGATAGTTGTAAAGGTAGATCAATGGTGTTTTATAGTAAGGAAACTCCTCCGAGGGTATGAGGGAGTTGAGACTTGGGGTAGTGGAGGTGTGTGTTGCCAATAAGTCTATGGTTAGTCTTTGTTTAAGGGAAGATTTCCTTGTGACAATACCAATGTGTTTGTGTTTGGCGCCGTGCTGTAAATGGTGGAGATTGGAAAACCCAAGTAAAAACCCCTCTGCAAATCTTGGCTCTGAGTGTGTTTACAGCCGATGGTTCTGTTGTGTGACTGGAAGTGAGGGCATGCTATATTCCTTGAAGGTGCATTTATGGTACCTGTATGGGAGCCCTTTGAAGCTCCAGAACTTTAGTAAATCTACTACAAGTCTGGAAGGGTGATGAGTCAGTAGTGTTGGTGTGTACAGATGGTGAGTACGTTTTTTGTAAGTTGTATTGGGACACATGGTTTGTCATGTGCCCTGAACCATTTGAACATATATACAACAGTCTATATGCAATGCAACTACTCATACCAATTGTCTCTGGTAGTTCAGAGGTGCTGGTACCTGGAGCCTGAGAGTGCTCGTCCGTTTGTTTGGGACAAAATCCCTTCTGTATGGGTACCTGCACAAATAAACATTTCTACATATGCCAACACAACCAAGGGATGGTCAGTTCCCGATTTACCTGGAATCCCTGGATCTGATTATCACAGATACATCATAATACATATATATGCCTTGTTTCCCCAATGTGCTGGGAAAATATGTGCAGGGTTAACATCTTGTGTGTCATAAGAATTGATTGTACCAGGTAACTGAGTTTCAGTTGGTGCTGGTTGTACAGTAGCATAAGACCCAGTCTTGTGAGGGCTGTGGTGACCAACTCAAGATTGTCAGTCTGTCGTAAATCTTTTGGCTCATGAGTTTATGAGTGAGGCTAGCATGGCCTGGGTATCACCTGAGTGGGTGTTGCTGGGCCTTCCCCTGCCTCCGTGTTGTCCGTTGATGTATGGAGGAGTTTGAATAACTCTGCTTTCCTTGCTGTGGCAGGGTAGGGGATTTGTCGCCTCCTTAGGTCAGTGGTAATGTGTGGGATCGTCCAGGATCTGATTGCTGCTGGACTATCAACATCTCCTCTGCTTGTAGGTGTATCAATTCTAGCAGGGGTGCTAGGAAGAGGTGATTCTTCACCATCTTTTTGAGAAATACTTAAATAACAATAAAGATTGCAATTATTATCTGTACCCAGGGGTCTTGTACTGGCTTGCTAGCTAAGCCGTAAGGTGAAACGATTAGGCTTGGTGTTTTATGGTGACTGGTGAGGCCCTGCTAGTTGCCAAGTGGCTTGAGAGGCTCTATCTATGCTTGGTGCGAGGGGATTTTGTGTGGCCACTGAACGTTGTGGCAGGATGTTGGCCTCTCGATGACAGTAACCAGAAAATAGGAAGGGGAGTGGCAGGTGAGGTCCTCTCTAAGATACAATGCGAGGCAGCTAACTCACGAGTGGCCCAAGGGGTGTATGCCTCCGAGTGTGAGGCAGGGTGTTGGCCTCGCGGGACCACTGACCGAAGCGTAATGCAGAGAAAAAAGGGGGTAATACCTATTGGGCCCTAGAACCCTAATTGCCAGTACGCTATTACTATTCCAGGGAAGGTAAGAGATGGATAACTCAGTGAGCAGGTGTATGTACCTGGTAGTATGGTATTGAACCTGACAATCCGTATAGGTTTTTTAGTAGTAACTGTAACCTGAATGGATAAAACCGTATGGCATAAGGAAATATGGCATAAACCAAGCTTATCTTAATACGTACAGTATATGTGCTGCAGGGAGGAAGTGATGGCCGGTCACTTCCTCCCAGCTTACTCCACGTGGAAGGGAGAGGGAGAGCAGAGGGAGAGCGGAGGAAAGGGAGAGCAGAGGACAGGAGAGGACACCAGAGGCATCCACTCCCATCATCCCCAGCCGCCCTCCTGCAACTTAAAGGTAAGAGGAGGGTGGCTGATAAATGAAGTGTGTGTGTGTATGTGTGTATGTAGGTGTCTGCAAGTATGTATGCATGTCTGTGTGTGTGTATGTCAGTATGTATATATGTCTGTGTGTGTATGTCAGTATGTATATATGTGTGTGTGTGTCAGTATGTATGTGTGTATGTATGTCAGTATGCATGTATGTCTGTGTGTGTGTGTATGTCAGTATGTCTGTATGTATGTGTCTATCTGTATGTGTGTGTGTATGTCAGTATGTATATATGTCTGTATGTATGTCTGTTTGTCAGTATGTATGTATGTATGTCTGTCTATGTATCTGCAAGTATGTATGTATGTCTGTGTGTGTAAGTCAGTATGTATATATGTCTGTGTGTGTGTCAGTATGTATGTGTGCATGTATGTATGTCAGTATGCATGTATGTCAGTATGTCTGTATGTTTGTGTGTATGTGTCTGTATGTGTGTGTGTATGTCAGTATGTATGTATGACAGTATGTATTAATGTGTATGTATGTATGTCTGTATGTCTGCATGTCAGTTTGTATGTATGTCTGTTTGTATGTATGTGTGTGTCAGTATGTGAGTATGTATGTACGTCAGTGTGTGTGTATGTATCTGTATCTGTGTATGTGTCTATATGTGTGTATGTCTGTTTCAGTATTTGTGTCTGTTAGTATGTGTGTATCTTTCTGTGTGTGTGTGTCTGTGTCCTTTTGTGTCTGTGTATTCCTGTGGGCGGGATTTGGAGGCCGGGCTTGGAGGCGGGCACCCGGGAGCCCAGCCCTTGAGCTGTGTTAGGGGCCCCACAATTTCTGACGGCGGCCCTGAGTGCAGCCATCTACTTTTGCAATATAAATATATACACTACTAGGCATTCCCAGACATACATTGCCAAATACACAAATACACACTGCCACGTCACACTTGAATGTGCAATGTCTCACACTCAGATGCATGCTGCAACTCACAGATACACAATGAAACACACTGATAATTAATGGCAAACATACTCAAGCACTTACGGATACAAACACATTGACACCTACACTGACATGCTCATACAAAGATTCACAAACTGCCCTACACAGATACACACTATCACACAGAGAAATAAATGCATATTATTTTAGCCACGCTCTTGTTTTCATCCCTTTAGTTTGCAGAAGGGTGGCTTCCCTCGAGTCCAGTCCAGTGTTAAATGATGTTGAATATTGGCTGCTTTCTCTCCCTGGGCAACTCTGTGTATGTGTAGAGAGGAAGCTAAGTCTAATCACCAACTTTCAACCAGAGGCCTGGTCCGAGGCAGCTGGTAAAGGCCCCAATGGGCCACTTGACCCGGTCTCTGGCCTGAGTATGGATTTTAGTGACCTAATGGTGGCCCTGGATATGTTCACTTTTACTGACACAAATAATGACACATACACACTTTTAACACAGACAGACTAATACCTGTACACTTTTATTGCTACACACATGTTTTCACACACTGACACATGGATAACATCTCCTAATTCATATACAAATTATCACAGTGATAATTGAGATATTTGTATTACTAGTTGTGAAGGTAATACTCACTTTCAATGAATGAAGGTTTGTGGCTTTTGCACTGCCATAACACCCAGGGATGTATTTACCACAAGGCAAACAAAGTATTTGCCTAGGGCGGCACTTTCGGGGGTGAGTGGGGGGAGGGAAGGAGCGCCAAAAAATGCCACCACAAGCCAGACAAATGCCTTGTTTGCCTCGTGTTCTGGGGCTGTCCACCTTACAGTGAGTGATTGAGTGTAGCTGTCAGTGTGTGTCTGTGAGTGAGTGAAAGTGTGTGTGTGTCTTTCAGTGAGAATGGGTGTGTGTGCCAATGACTCTGTATCTGTCAGTGAGTGTATCAATGAGGGCATGTGTCTGTCAGTCAGAAAAATTGGCCTTGACACGAATTGGGGAGGCAAATTTAGATTTTGGGGGTGCCCGAATTTAGTCGTGCCTATGGCAGCACAAATCCAAAATACACCACTGATAACACCCACTTTATATCCATCCCTCCTCCTGTCCCTCTCTGACCTGGGTACACTAAACAAAGCAGGGTAATCTTCAGCAGTGATGAGATACTTAATATTTGCTACACATGTAATCACAGCAACTAATGCACATGCAATGTAATTACTGTGACTGAGAACAAGAAAACCACCTGAATAAGGGCTCCTTTACTCTTCCCTGCTCCGCAATTGTCGGCATTGAGGTCTATTCTGACTCAATTGTGAAAAATATTTGAGACCCTTGAGGGTGACCAAAACTTTGCATAGATTTTAACCCCTAAAAGACTGAGCCAATTGAATAAGTTGTGATTTATACAAAACGTAAACAAAACCGGCGGCCTTAGGGGTGTGCAAGCTGTGCGCAGGGCGCCATGGCAGCAGAGGGTGCCATGTGGCAACACAGTACACACACTCCCTGTTGTAGCATGGCCGCGCTGCACCTGAGGGGAGCATTTAATTCTTATTGGCCAGACTAGCTGACAAGGCAGGGGCAGGGCTAAATTCACAGATGAGGTGGAGCTACATGAGCGACAGGGGCTGAGCTACATGCCACCGGATCCCGCTGCCTGGAAACATGTTCACACTGTGGGGGAAGCAGGTAGGAGTCCCCAGACACCTATACCCCAGCCAGCCCATAAGAGAGAGACTAGCAGTAACTGTGTGTGTGAGAGAGAAACTGTCTGTAACTGTGTGTGTGAGAGACTGTCTAAATGTGTATGTGATAGAGAGACTGTCTGTAACATTGTGGGTGTGTGTGTGTGAGAGAGAGAGCTTGTCTGTAACGGTATGTGTGTGTGTTTCTGAGAGAGAGACTGTCTAAATGGGTGTGTGTGAGAGAGAGAATGTGTATGTGTGTGTGTGTGTGTGCGTGCATGCGTGAGAGAGAGAGACTGTCTGTAATTTTGTGAGAGAGAGGCTGTCTGTAACTGTGTGTGTGTGAGAAAGAGACTGTCTGCAACTGTATGTGTGTGTGTGTGTGAGAAAGCAAGAGACACTCTGTAACTGTGTGTGAGAGAGAGACTGTCTGTAACTGTGTGTGTATGTATGTATGTGAGAGAGAGAGTCTGCCAGTGTGTGTGTGTGTTTGTGAAAGAGACTGTCTGTAACTGAGTGTGTGTGGCTGTCTGTAACTCTTTCTGCTTGTACCTGTGTGCGAGACTGTCTGTAACTTTGTGTGTGTGTAACAGTCTGTCATTGTGTGTGTGTATGTGACTGCCTTTTATTGTGTGTATAACTATTTACCTGTAACTGTATGTTACTAGGTGCCTGGGACTTTGTGCATGTGTCTGTATTTGACAGTGTATGTGTATAATTGTGTGCATCTGACCGTGATACTGTGTGCATGTGAATCTGCAAAAATACACACCTGCATTCACACATGGGCCTATATGCATATTTTTATCAGAGTAAAATATCCATCACACACAGCCAATAATCCCAGCACAAATTTCACACTTCCATCACACACAGACATCACGCCTCTCGCACACATTTATTAAATCCCCTATATAAAAAAATTGCACCGGCCCTGGGCACATCTCTGCATTTGCTGGTGTCTTATTCTGGTATATAAGAGGGATAGCAGAGGACAAATGTGGAACATTGCTAGTAGTTGTTGGATGCTGATTGTGGGATTGCGTGTATGTAGAGGTGACTGTTTGTTGTGTACTATATGTGGCTAGGGATTGTATGTGTGCCTGTCTTTCTAGCCATTATAGAGTGAGAGCAAGAAAGCATGTTTGTGTATTTGTCTTTGTTTCTAGTGGGTGTAATGTGTGTGTATATAGGGCTGTTTTGTGAGTGTGGGTGTATCTAGGAGCTGTAGCGTGTATGTACTGGGGCTGTAATGTGCATGTTTATGTATAGGGGCTGTAGTTTGTGTGTACAGGGTAGTGTATGTTTGTATAGGGGCTGTTGTGTGTGTTTAGGGGCTGTAGAGAGGATGTATTGCATGTATTTATCTACTGGGTTTAGTGTGTGTTTAGAGGGTACCACTAGTGGCTGTAGTATTTTTATACATATATATATCTTATGGGCTTGTATATGGGCTGTAGTGTTTGCATATTAATATAGGTCCTTAGAATGGCGGGATAAATGGACAAACAGTCGGTATAAACAAGCCGAGGCAAAAGTAGTTCAGAAGACAGGTTAAATGTATTAACAAAAGCCAGAAATAATACCAAGAATCATACAAGAGGAACGCGCTATAAGACTACCAAGAACCAGAGCAGGGCGACAAGGAATGGGAGAAGTAAGTATATATAGGCATCACTTAATTCTGATTGGTCCAATTCTGGCTGGAATTAACTGCTATTCATGGAGAGTACCTGACCCTTCTATTTTGACCTCTGGCGTAATTTTTATGCGCCAAATTTAGTCTACTGAATTTTACGTTCGGTCCAGCGATCGCCAAATTCGGTACTTTGTTCGGTCGCATTTATATATAAATGTATATATCAGATGGAATGCCGAAGGGATCCGAAGCACCTGCAGCTGACCAGAGAGATAGGCAGGCTGGAAGCCTAACAATCGTGGTCCATGGCTCTTCCACGCTTTATGCTGTGACTGGCAGGAGGGAAGTGCACTCTATTCCTGTCAGTCACCCGGAGACTATGCTCCCTGCTACATGAGGGAGGTGAGCTGGCACGAGAGGATTGGGGAGTAGAGCATAAAGGGACGGGGGTGAGAGACCATAAAGTGACAGGGTGGATGAGAGATCATAAAGGGATGGGGGTGAGAGATCATAGAGGGACATGGGGGTCAAAAAAGATCATAAAGGGATGAGCGTGAGACCACAAATGGACTGGGGGGACAAAGAGGCACACAGAGGGCTGGGTATCAAATAGGCCCATAGAGGGTTCTGGGGGGAGGAAAGAGGCACAAAGTGGGGCTGGGGGGGCAAAGACATGCAGAGGGGCTGGGGGTAAAAGAGACACACAGAGGGGTGGGGGAACAAATAGACAAACAGAGGGGCTATGGGGACAAAGAGACACACAGAGGTCTGGCAGACAAAAAGACACAAAGAGCGGCAGGGAGGGGCAAAAAGACCCAAAGAGGGGCTGGAAGGGGTAAAGAGACACACAGAGGCACTGAAAGGGGGCAAAAAAATACACAGTGGAGCTGGGGAAACAAGGAGACACAGAGGAGCTAGGGGGAACAAAGAGACACAGAGAGGGCCACGGGGCACTAAGAGACACACAGAGGGGGGACAAAGAGAATGCAGAGGAACTGCTTGGACAAAGAGGCAAACAGAGTTGCTTGGGGGGGGGGGGGACACAAAGAGACACACAGGGGCTAGGGAAGAGAAAGAAACACACAGTTGCGAATTTTTGTTTTTTTGAGAGGTGGGGTGCAAGTAGCTGGTCTTGCCTAGGGCGCAAAATAGTCTTGCATTAGCTCTGAGTCCGGGCATGCCCATCCTACACTCCAGCAGTACTGGGAAAGAACTGGTGTACTGTTATAAACTCACAAACTCGGTTATTTAACCCTTGCACAAGTGTATTATTACTGACAGAACAGTGAATTATAGAGAAACCCTGAAGTTTTATACATTGTATGGCCATATTACCTAACATTACCTAATATAGGTGGTTTTATAATATTTATATGCAGCCCTGTCTACAATGGAATATTTGTCTATCATAAAGTATTCTATCTATCTATTATATAATTCAACTAGTAAGAAATATTAAATTACCTGTACAATCTCTAGTGAGATTTTTCCATGGCCTCAAAAAAAAAAAACAGAATCCAATAGGGAGGTTACAGCTTTAAATAGAGTGTTCCTACAGGAAAATGGACATGTGGATAAAATAATGAAAACCTATCATTTGTAGTTGTTATGGGAATTGTAGGTTTATGACACTATATAATTACGCTTAGAGCACTGATACGCCTCTTAATTACAGGGGTACATATAAGACTGTAAATGGTAAATGGAATAAAAAGGACTCATAGCTTTACTGGGACGGAAGTGGGAAACACAAACAGCACAAGAGAAGATTATTAAGTCATCAAAGGTTTATATTATTAAGGCTTCAACATTGGTAAGATAGGTATACAACCACAGGTAATCTAAAGAAAGAGGGATATAATACAAAACTGTGCGTCTTCATATGATATTTGAGTTTTACAACCTTTAGCATTGTATGTCTGCTTTCAATAGCAATTTACGATCAGTTAAAAAACACTTACGAAATAATGACATATGTGTTTACATTTGGCCCTTACAAAAGTATAATCAATAACTTAATGGATTTATATGAATACAGAAAAGAAAAGAAAATCAATAAGCTGAAGATTTCCAAGAGAGGTTTGTATCATATTCTTTTATAAAGCATCAATAGGCTTAGCCCTTCACTCTGAGGATTCAGTTACTTTGGTAATATGGAGCAATGGCATATTGCCAGATTATTATGACACATTGATGAAAACAGAATTGAAATAGTTAAGTACAAAGTACTTAATAAAGATGCCGGAGATATAAGGGGTCGGTTAGTTTTCAGAAGCCTTCTTACATGTAGATCTTTTATTTTTAAAGCAGTAGTACTAGTTTAAGACTTGTTGACATACAAGGTGACAAAAAGGGACATTCACATTACTCTACCTCTGTCGCAGTTATATTTCACGGGCAGGATTCTTGTTGAAAAAGGTTGATTATCAATGGTAACCTATCATGATAAAACTTTAAATCAACAAAATAAAAAGATTTAGGCTGTTATTGTCTCTAAGGTGTACCATAGTTGTTTCGGTATAAATTCCCTTCAGTCTTTCATTCTTTTGTTTTTCTACCATTAGATGTTTTGCTTGGACGAAATGTAATAAGGCAAAGTAAAAGGTAAGATGAGGTACGACAACATTATCAAAAAAGTTTATATTCTGTTTCCTATTGTTTTCATGTCAACATCATGTACTTCACAAATATAGTTATTTTATACAAAAAAAACGAAATCTTTTTGTTTTATTGGTCTCCAATTTTCCTTCTCATTTAGCACCTATTTGTCTCCTAAAGATATTCATAGCTCATTATAATAATATCTACATTTCATTTCATCTTAACGATACAGTGCTGTCAAGGAGGTGTACTGCAAATGTTGAGCACCAGAACTGTGTTTTTGCAAATGTGCTACATTCATAAGATAGTATCATCATTTTAGCAATATAAATGAGAGCACCATTATAAAGCTGGGCCCACATTGGTCCCAAATTCTGGTTGATGTTAGTTGATGTTGTCTGTAACTCCCATACTTCATAGCTAGGTGTCCACTTGTGGAGTATGGTTGGAATTACAGTTCCCAGCATTATTAGTATCAATATTTAGGTGATAAAGCTACACACATGAGTTGTAATCACAAAATTGAGAGAGTCATGGGAAATAGAAAGTACACCCGCTTTGAATTCTATGGTTTACATATCGGTGCATAATAACAATGTCCATTAGCAGGTCTTAAAATTAGAAAAATACAACCTCAGATGAACACATGACATATTACACTGTGCCATGATTTATTTAACAAAATTAACGTTGCTTGCTTATAAGGAAATGTTTTACTTTTTGAGAAAATAGTTTCAGTAAATGTTTCTTCAGTCCCTCCTTAAACATTTTTAAGCAAACTGACCCAATCATGATTGACAAATGTAAATGTAAGAAAAACATGTTGCTGAAACAATCTCTTCATTATTTTTTTTGTATCTGTATTTGTTTAATAGTATTTCATTTTTATTCTTTCAGCAGTTGGTTCTGATTTTCACTTCAAGAGGAGATTATGCTTCCTGCCTTTCTACTTATGTCCATGGCTATCTTGGGATCTACCACCATTATGGGAATCATATCAAACTGTATAATATTATCTGTATTTCTTGTTGAAAAAATGAGAGGAAAGAATCTCAATTCTTCAGATCTTATCCTGGTAACGCTTGGAATATCGAATATCACTTTCCAATTTGTAATGACAGCCAATGACTTCATAAGCTTTCTCTGGAGTGATTTGTACTTCTCAGACAAAGTCTATTCTATTATCAATGCATTACTTTTCTTCCCTATTTTCTCAAGTTTTTGGTTCACGGTCTGTCTTTGTGTCTACTACTGTTTACAGATTGTTATATTCACCCATCCTTTCTTAATGCGTCTGAAACTGGGTATCTCCACATTGGTTCCATTCTTCCTTGTGACCTCAGTCCTCATTTCTGTAGCTATCAGTGTCCCTGCTATCTGGAGCACTCACAGAGACCCGTTTAATGGAAATGTATCTAGCAATGAAACATTTGAAAGTGATGTCCCCAAGTTGAGTATCTCATACCTTCTTCCTAGTAATATAATTGGCTGTTCACTGCCATTAGTGCTTGTTGCTATTTCTAACTGTCTAATACTTAGATCACTTAAGTCCCCCAGTAATATGATAGAGAAAACAAACAATAGTCAGAGCCCTCGAGCAAAAGCCAGAGAAAGAGCAGCCCAAACTGTTGGTAGCCTTCTTCTACTCTACATGTCCTTCTACATTTCTGAGATCATGATGTTTGTGGATCTATTCCCACCCAGTAGCCCTGGATTCTGTGCCTGCTTAATGATTATCTATACTTACTCTCCTGCACAATCTATTATACTCATCCTTGGAAGTCCTAAGCTTAAAAAAGTATTATTGAGCTTACTACGACTTCATGAGAAACTGAGCAGCGAGGAGCCGGAAGCACCAAACATTCTTTTTATTAAACGCAACGTTCAGAAAACTGTGAAGGATCTAATAAAGTCATAATATATTTTTGGTAACTCCATGTCTCGAGTTTTTCAACCTAGTTAGGCACTAGATTTGAGATGCATATTCCTGTACAAGACTCATGTTAGAGATAATGTGTGTATTATTATATCTTTAATTAAAAATCAGCAAAAAAATTACAAATAAACAAAATCTCACAAACAAATCTTACAAAAGTTTTTCATCCCAAAATTGATAAATATCATCCAATACTTTCAACATTTTATGCACACAAAGTGTTATATCAAAGAGATATGTATGTAGTTATTAGTAGGATAATTGTTTCTATTATTTGACCAGATACTACAAACCTGTGGATTTCTTAATTTAACCAACATGAGGATAATATGGGATTAACCAGAGAGTACCACAGTTTAGCCAAAATAGCCAAGGTTGTACAAAAAGTGAGCTGGCAACTTTTTCCAGTTCATTATTGTTGGCCAAAAATTTAAAAATCCTCTTTCAAACAATAGGAATAGTCTTTTAGTTGGACTTTGATTCTGTTGTTTGTTTTTGGTCTCTAAGTACACTGGAATACTACTTGATTTTAAGTACTAGCCTTCTAAAGGTTTAATGATTCTTACTATGCATTTTATAGCAGAAGAACTTGAGGAGTTAGCATGGTGAGGTGACGTGTAATTTGAAAGAGTACTGTCAGTGCATGATATTTGTAATAGCAAGTTGGGTAAACAGTACACATGCTGTATAAATGAGTGGTGAGGTTTGTGTATGCTCATTAAGAGTACATTGCCCCCAATATAATTTTGATTCAACTGAGATTAAAACCAGACTCAATTTGTTAAGAATACCAGTCAAAACCTTTCAACTGGGTTTTTCAGATAGAATGTAATCAACGCACAGGTAGGCAATTCTCACATTTACTGAACCTAAATATGGTTGAACTGTGGTCATCCTGACTTAACCTGCACCATTTGGTTGGATGCATACAGTGTCTTAAGGACACGTGACGGCACTATTCCGTCATGATTCCCTTTTATTCCAGAAGTTGTGTCTTTAAGGGGTTAAAGTCATTGCTTTCCACACTCAAAACCTACATCTGGAAAATGTAGCAAGCTATTTTAAACAAAAATGCATCCAGCAGGGTGGGTGCTGAGGGGTACAAATTCATGCAATCTATGGCTTTTTAATAGCCTACTATTCCTACCGCCCATGCATTGTCTCTCTGTTCACATATTAGCATGTAGTATGGACAAATTGGTCCTCTATTCTCTCTGTCTTCGAAGTGTGCAAAGTATCGCGCAGCCATGCCAAGAGCCAAGGCTTTATTCTGTAGGAAGGGTGTCAGCAATGAATGGATTCTTTATTAAGTGGTGTTTATTAGATATTGTATCGCACAAGGAGAATCAGTGTTTGAGCACTCAAGAAGTCAATTTAGAAGAGGTTACATAGTCACATAGTAATCTAGGTTGAAAAAAGATTCAAGTCCATAGAGATCAACCATTAGAGAGGTAATCTTTTTTGTGGAACCAGATGTACAGAGATGGAAAGAAACACTTAAAATAAGATGTTCAAAATCAACCCATCTCTTGTGACCAATGAGAGCATATAGTTGTTGTGTTTGACATGATAAAATGAGAAAGAGTGAAGTCTCCCACTTAAGTTGGAATGTATAGGGTATGTTGCCTGATTCTAGACTTGCACTGGTACCATGTGAAGAAATCTGTTTTAGTGCAAACTGATTTAAAAGGAACACTTTAGGCACTATAACTATTTGATCTGATTGAATTGGCTATAGTCTCTGGGATCCCCTGGTACAGTGTTAAACCACTGAACATACCCTCCTCCAATTCCACTAGAGATATGGCTAAGGCAAAGATTACACACTTCCTTAAAGCCATACCGATTCATACCTGAATGGGCTGAGGGAAATGGGAAAGAAGATTGCTGTATTTTTTCGTGTATAAGACGACCCCTCTTTTTTGATCCCAAAATTAAAAAATCTATATTTTGAACATCAAATAGAACAAATTTGATATTTTAGAAGTGACTCCTGAGGAGAACAACACACTTCTGATTCTCATGCCTTCCCTATGCTATGATACTCTGTGAAGTTAATGGCTCCATAGTGAATGTGGGGAGACTACAGCTCTCACGATACAGCAGGTGGTGTGAGGGCATGCTGGGACATCACAGTAGTATTCCCTCTGCTCACTGATCCCCATTTCCTCCCCTGTAAATATAATTCAGAAAGCAAGACCTATCTGAGGTGGCGCAAACCTTAATATGGCTGCTGCTTTTGTGGTGTGGCATGTCTGTAGAGTTCTGTTGGTGGTAAGTGCTGATGTCTGCTGCAGCTCCCACGACATTCAGAAGTGGACCAGCGGGAGGGAGGCCAGGTATGTGTCTGGGCTGTGGCACACTTAAATGCGGCAGGCACGATCTTAACTTAGGCCCGCGTACAAGTGTGATTTCTTTTTAACCCTGCAGTGACATTCCGTCTTATACCTGGAAAAATACAGTAATTTTGATTGAACTGGTCTTCCTATCCAAGAAGTTAAATTATTTTGTTTCTAATAATTAAGTTACTTATTTTAATTGTTTGCAAACATCTGCTTCCAGTTCTATTGTTTATATATAGAATATTAGAACTGCTATTAGTAATGATGATGATGTTAAAGGACTTGCCAATGTCAATTACATGCAAAAAAATTTCACGTGTTAAAGCTGTAAACTAATATGAAGTAATTGCATCTTGTGAAGAGCTAGTAAAAAAAAAATCTACAAGAAATTTTATTTTTAATTTCTTTATTTAAGAAATTACAGTAAATCAAATCCATAGGAGATTAACTATTGCAACATCTTTTTCAAAATATGTGAAGAGTAATATATCTGCATCCACTACACGCACACAGCATCCACCAAACACACACTGCATTGACTACACATATACACACACTCTGCATCCACTACACAAACACACACTCTGCATCCACTATACACATGTACACACTGCATTCCCTACACAGACACTTTATTCACTACACACACTGCATAACATAATGGATGTGTGCGTGGTTCTGGTGGGGGGGTGGGGAGTGGGGGTGCAGCATTTTATCCTTGGACCTAGTCACATAGTAATCTAGTGATTACCACATCTTACCGACAGCTCACATGAAGCCATCATCTTAGATTAAAAGAGTCTGACAAAAAATTCCAAAAAGTATATTTTCATATTTTTATCACCAGCAGTGATTAGTGTTTGTTCTTATTTCAGCTTTCTGGAATGAGCTGTCTAAGATTGTGAGCACCATGCTGGAAATAACCATGTCCCCTGAACCTGTTATGGCCCTGCTAAATGATAACCACTCACCACTACATACCTACGCCCTGCCGCATTGTCCCTCTGGCACAAAATATGTAGCGCCAAGAAACAAGAGCAGCATAAGTGGAATAGGGCCTTGACAGGGCTAGGAGGTGGGCTTTGGGGGAGATGGGAGGGTGGTGATTGGTAGGTTAGATTAGGGGCAGGCATAGTATAACTAGGTCGGCCATTTTAACCCTGTCAATTAATTAACTCACCAGTCTGTGTTGGTCCCTCCCTCCGTTGGGTTAGACTCTTTCATTTATGGCCTCGTTTAGTTACAGCGGCGGGGTTGGTGAGGGGAAGGCTAGAGAGAAAAAGGTTTCTGGTTTAGTTAAAGCAGAGTTAAGGATGTTGGTCGATTGGTTATAAGTTGGTTGGAGACTATATTGGTGTAATGTTGGTGGCTCAGAAACTTGGTGGGGTAGGGGTATCCGGGTATTCCCCTACCAGGAGCCGATTAAGTTATGTTGAAGTTATTTGTGTATATTTATGTTTAGTTGGGTGTATATTTATGTGTCGTTATATTGTTATAATAATGTTTACAATATGGGTCATTGCATTTATTTACGATGATGGGATATGTATTGTTGAGGCATGGTTGAGTGGGGGCAGGCAATGACTTTACATGTTTCAGTTTATGTTTTGAAGTTATTAATATTATATTATTTAATAAAGCTGTAGACATAATTGACCCATAACTTAGAGTGTCTGCATTTGACTGTTAAAAAGGTGGGTATGGGTGTAACGGATCACCCGTACTCCGACCGAGTACCTTCCGTTGATGGACACTTCCTAGCTTGCACTGAGGACCACAAGCACCACACCAGACACCACAACCACAGCAGACTCCACAACCACCGTAGCTTAACTGGTAGTCTCGCCGTCTTCCTTCCACCCTGGAACAGCTTCTGTCTTCCAGGACCGTGTGGGAAAGACCTCTTTCTTCCCCACTGTGTGGGGAAGACCTCTCCTCCAGGAGAAAGTATCAGGAACAGCTCTTAGAAGTGATTAAAGCTCAAGGGAGCATGCAGAGCATAGCAATCCCCAGTGTGATTATAGCAGTTCCCTCCAATAACGAGACAAGGCTACGTATTGAAGGTCAAACAGGAACAGAATGCACTGAGGCTTTATTGCTTCTTTTATGCAGGTTTTCCCACAAGGTTACCACCCATGTGGACCTTGTGGGATACAGGACATGCAGTTACAATAGCCAATCAAAACATTACAGTACAGTCAGACACTCCCAGCCAAGGCACACAAACCCTCCCCTGTGCCTGTGATATAATTACTAAACACAATGGGCTAACTTAATTATCACAGGCAGGAAAATATACAGTTTTACACAATATTCATAACTTCAAAACTATACATACAATTTCCATTCTGAACCAGCATTATCAGTATACAAACATATTCAAAAATCATGCAATTTGGTCCAGTGGTTCAAAAGATAGATGGAAGTCCTATTTGACCGACTGCAAGCATGGCTTTCATGCCCAAAACAGTTCCACAGATTTAGGCTGTGTAGTCGGTCTATCTTCTCCTCTATTCTGGAGATAATTGGGTGTGGTAAGCCAATTATCTCCAGGTACAGAAAATATCTCTAAGTCCAAAAACTGTTACAAAAACTACATAAAAATACATAACTTATATAATACAATGTTTAACCTATGTG